CTATGTCCTGGGAAAGCAGCAGAAGATGGCCCAAGTGCTTGGGTCTCTGCACCTGCATGGGAAACTGGGAAGAAGCACCTGGCTCCTGGTTTGGTTCAGCGCAGCTCCAGCCTTTGTGGCCATCTGGGGAGTGAACCAATAGAAGGATGACCTTTCTCTCTGTCTCTTCCTCTCACTGTGACTCTACCTCTCAAATAAATAAATATTTTTAAAAAATATAAATAGATTTCTCACTTCGTGATATTTTTATCCAATTATTTTGGACTTCACATTCTTTTATAAACAAGTGTGTATCTTAAAGGCTTGCCAAGAGTTTATTTTTCACTTATGACTCATTAATCTATTGCTAGTAGTTAGGGAAGAATGGAATTTCAATAAAATATTGCTTTGTAATCTGCCTGCAGGGTGAGTGAGTGGCACTGGTTCATGTCCCGCTGTTCCTATTCTGATCCAGCTCTCTGCATATGGTCTGGGAAAACAGTAGAAAGTGGCCCATGTGCTTCGGCCCCTGCACCCATGTGGGAGAATTGGAAGAAGGTCCTGGCACTTTGCTTCTGATAGGCCTAACTCAATCTGTTGGGGCTGTTAGGGAAGTGAACCAGTGGATAGAAGACCTTTCTCTGTCTCTCTCCATGCCTGTAACTATCTCTCAAATAGAATATTTTTTAAAAAAGTACTAGTTTGGATAAATTAATCAGAATCACATTGCTTATCTCCCAACAACCTTTTTTTATGTTCTAATTTTTTAAATGTTGAAATGTAAGAAAAATTTTAAAAAATTTAAAAAAAGAAATGTAAGAAAAATTATTCAATGTTTGACTTTGAAATGCTATATCACATTGATGTTTGTAATGTCTACTAATTTTATCTTACTCAGACTTGGATATTGTAGATTTTCATATTTGCTAATACTTGGTCCATTACTTACTTCTCTTTTTTCTTTATGTTTAGACTATTTGCAATGATTTCTATCTAATTGATTCATGTGCTCAAGTCTCCATGCAACAGCAACATCATAAACTTCCTCTGAGCCTGAAGACCATATTTGTCCCAGTATGACAAAGTCTGGTACAGAACAAATCATCACCAGCATATGTTTTTATCTACTCAATGGGCCAGCTCTGACTATAGCTGGGCTTTGTAGTCAAGAAGTTAAAAGAAGACAGACAAGACTATGAATGAGTGTTTTTTATGGACTAACATTATACTAGATACAGAGAAGAAACCAAGAATCAAGAAGTTAAATAATTTTACCCAAAGTGTCCATAGAATAATTTTCAAATCACAGACTTAGAAACTGCTTGATCCCAAAGCTTTGATCTTTCCACATCTTTATAAAGAGTGAATTAGGGGGCTAATCTTTGTTCAATGTATTTTATAATTTTCCAGCAACTTGGAGTCACAGGATGAACTGGTCATTTGACACACTAAAGTTATAACCATAATTGTGCACATCCTATTTTGCCTGTGAGTCTATACTCACGACCTTTGATTAATGTTTGACTATTAACAAGATATCCCAAGTATGCATAATTCAGTCACTTCAACGTGTAGATTTATGGATTGTATTACTCTGATATCTGTGCCCTGACTGGAGACTTAACTATCAGTAGAATCTTAACATAAGCACATCTCAGCATGTTAAGTATTGTATATGAAGTCACCCCCATATTAATGCAATGTCCATCATTTACACAGCAATAACTTAGATATTAGTTCACATAACTGGAGTGATGAAGGAAAACCAATATAAAAAACTAAAGCAAACTGAGAATTTACTTTACCCTTACAGTCATGAATTAGGATATGACAGAGTGATATAACCTTACATATAGGTAAATTTATTAAATAAGTTATTGAAAACAGGGTGTATGTTAACCTAACAGATGTTTATTAAATAAAGTGATAAATATTGAGTGATTGAATAAATCCTTAGAACATTTACCTAGGATCTCACAAAAAATAAACTATCATTGCAAAAAAACCCATTACCCAATTTTGCTATGCTCCTAATTTCACTTAGTCTTTTCTAGAATAATCATCTACTCTCCCTTATTAGGTATTTTATCATATAATGCTTTAAATGAACATTGATAAACTGCTATTGATATTCCACATTGGCAACATTATACACATTCATATACGTTTTCCTTTTAAAGTTTGGTTATGATATATCATCCTTTTAAAATAATAATTTAGAAAAAAATGCAATTGCCTAAAAGCCAAATGTTTTTAAAAGCTATAGGGGTGTAAAATTTTCAATTATATACTAGTGAAGTAACAAGAAAATTCCCGGAGCAAAAATCATAATTCTTATTTCTGTTAATTTTATTTTTTCTTAATATTAATTGAGCCTATACATAAAACTAAAGCTCAACATTTGTTAAACAGGAAGGGCAAAATATTTGCTACCTCATGTTTAATACAATAGGATCATTAATTATTAGTAGAGTATAAGCAATATTATCTATTATGTGATAATGACATTGTAATGTAAAACAAAAGTATGTTTAAAACAGCAATAGTTTGTTTGAAGACAGAATATAATCTCATTTTAAATGAAACATCTGCAGTCACACTTTTCCTCTGGAAGTACGAAGACATTTATTATACAGTCTACAATTAGGTCACTTTTTCACTCAAGTCCTTAGATTCGATATTCTCACATGAGAACATGCCTCTCTTCTGAAAAGACCCATTCCTCTATGCATCCTCCTGTCACAACTGCTGGGTTTCATGATATGACATCTAAAAGCACAGAGAAGAAAACACTGTAGTCTTTCACATTGCATGCAAGAATAGTTTAGGAAGATATTTGCAGTTTTAGCTCATTAACAAGTGATTCCCTGATCATCATCATGCATTTTTGAGGCAAAGTGGCATATATTAACCACAGAATGATAAGGGATTGATTGATGTCAATCTATGTCACACACTATTAGGTGAAATAGGTTCTGCCAAAACATTAAAGGCAAAAGAGGTTCACTTTAAGATCAGTTTTCTGCTCCATTCCTAAAGGATGTAATCATATAGAGGTCTCAGTATGTCATATGAGGCATTAACAGGGATTTTTCTATAAACTAAGCACTATTACTGCAGCAATAAGTACTTAATATGCTTCATCCCACATGTGAAACAAATACTACCCTCTTTCAGCAATAATGCAGCTTTTTTTGTGATTACATAAAATGACCACATCACTAAGCCGATCAGTGGAAGGAATGATGTCAAGCAGGAAAAAAGCATTCTTGGCTTGAAAACTTCCCCCTACTGCTTGGAAATGGTACACCACAGCAAAAGTTAAGAATGTAGCATCTGCAAATAGCCTGCACACAACAGAAAACTAAAAATCAAGTGGTTTTTGTTGCTGTTTGTGGTGAAGAGATTTAACAACAGCCATTTAAATTTGGAAGCTAGTCTTTGGAGTAGAGTTATTAACTCAGGAAATATATGTTATATTTTGGAAATGGATTTTCAAGTTAATATGAAGCCTCATTTTTTAACTTCTGTGGTTTCTATAGCAGGTGGAAGAGCAGACCCTAAATCTTGTTACTGAGTCATTTGATGTTAGATTAGTTCAATGTAAGCTTCTAATTTGAGAGTGGCTATACACTAGAGCACTCCCAAACAATTCATCAATCTATTGCCCAAAGCTGGGGAATAGTAGCCATCTGCTTTCAAATTCTAAAGGGACATATTGCTAGAATCAAAATATTTATAACAAACCTTTTCAGTTAAGTTTCTTTCTAGAAATAATAGTGGAAGCATCAGTTATATATTCTAAATTGTTTAAGATACTTTAATAAATATAAAGATGCCATTGAATGAGGTTCAATATTCCTGGACAGCTGTGTGTCTCTTATTTTGCAAATCTTAAAACTGATCAAGTGTGCAATAAAAGATCAAGTGAACTGACATCTGCTTGGCATGGCTGGATTTTCCATGTCTTGTCCGCGTACAGGGTACTCTAAAACTGTAAACAGATCTGCAGAATAGACTCCACTTAAAAAATTCCCCCTCAGTATGTAATTTTCTAGCTGAGCAGCTTGTGAATGAGCTTCAAAACACCTGATGAGAAACTGAAAATCATACAATGGTCTCAGAATGCTCCAAAAGTATGTCAGTTGCCTCTCTGGGGAGTGCAGAGAAATTTGTCTGTAAGAGCATCCAGCCCTCTGAAGTACAGAGGTTCAGAATCCACTATGATCCCATTGAGGAAAGAAAAAGACAAGCAATGATGCTAAAAATAAGAAAATATAAAACACTGACACCTCTTTGAAAAGCCCTTTGCTGTCACATCCCATAGCACACCTCTTTTCCACTTTTTAAATGTATCACCAATGATTAATAACCTTAAGATAACTTTGAAATGCATATTATATAACCCACAGCTGATCTGGTAATCTGTATCTATTCCACCTGTCCCAAATTAGTTTGCAGTAGGGAACCAATGGCTGTTTGCCAAGAGACAGACTATTAAAACACTGAAATTATTTTACATTTACATTTTTGAAGAATAAAGTTTAAAATTTTCATGAAGAAGGGGATGAGGTGAACCAGTGTTTACAGAATCTGCTTGAAAATAAAGCACTATTTTGTTGATAAGAACCAGGTATCAATAACACCATTTGTAAAATAACCAGTTGAACATGGAGCACACCTACTTATTTTCATCGGAAAATTTAACCATGCTAAGGTGCCTTATTAGAAAAAAGATTTCTTTCTCTCGCCCATTTCATGGAATCTCTCACTCCGAAAGCCTGGGGACTTGTTTAGAACTTACCGAAGTTTCCCAAAGCAAAACCACGCACAAGCTCCTGATTCGGATGCCAGATCTCTGTGCAGCCTCCTTCAGCTTCTGTCTACGCTCGGCACCACTTTATTAATCATGTATGAATTTCTGTGCAGGCACCCTGGAGCGATCACACGCACGATGCAACCCAACAATTAAAAAAAAAGAAAAGAAAAAAAAGAAAAATAAGAAAAAAAGGAAAGCTTACCTGGCAGCAGAAACGGCAGGCTGCAGGAACCTCGGCACGGTGGACAGGCGGCGGCAGCAGGAGGCAACAACCCAGCCTTGCACCCAAGGTGAGACCCTTCGCTCTGCCTCTCTCTCGCTTCCCCTTCTGAATCACTGTAGCCACGCACTGCCTTGCGTTTTGTCCCCTCTCATTCACACAAGGCTCTCCAGGCCGGGCAGCCCGCGGACACCACTTTCTTCCTGGAAGCCGCTGCCTCTCTTCTCAGAACCGCCTGGACCCCTCTCTGTGGCTCCCTCCACATTTACCCTTCAGATCAATAAGGCTCGCCGAGCGGCTGGAGCTCCACCGCAGCGGCGAGCGGCGAGCCAATGGGCGCCCAGGGTTCCCTCCCTGTCATCTCCCCGCCCTCAAAACAAAACACAGCGTGCCTTTGACACATCAGCGAGTTGTGAAAAGTAATTGAATCCCAGGTTGGAAATGCATCTGGTTTGTTCTTTTTCCCCCCTAGCGTTGGTTATAGAGGGCTTTGAATGAATCCAAGGACTCCATAGCTCTCAGAAGACTTATTAAAGGAGCGGAGCAGAGGTGAAGATGAGGCGCTGAGCAAGTGATGGCACCTGGGTTAGCACCTGGCGCTCCGGTTGTTCTGTGCTTGAGGCCTGGGGAATATAGGAGGACTGTCACCCAGAGGCAAAGGGCTTGGGCTTGGATCTTCCCTACGTAGCTTTGTCCTTTTATTTTGTGGAACAAGACCATAAAGTCCATTTTATCTAGAAACAGTCTCATTCTTTAAATATTTTCTAGACAAGTATCAGGCTAACTGGTGACAACCACCAGGTCCAAGCGATTACTCCTAATTCACTCATCTGTTTCACGGTTGCTTTAACTTGTTCCATATACTGCAGGAAACTAACCATTGTTCTACTATACATTAGTCTAACCTGTTCTATTTTTTCCATGGGTGTACTTTACAATATCTTAAAATTAATTTCTTGTAATAAGGAATTTTATTAATGATTACTTGAAATCTTATGGAGGATAATAATGATAATAGCATGTTATAATGAAGAATATCATTGTTGAAAACAATAGTATCAATTCTCCTAAAATCCCCAATATCATAATGCATGCTTTGTCCATGATGGTCTTCATATTTGATTACTGAAATGCTACATATTATATACAATTATCTAAAAAAGTATATCAGAAATTATTCATATCTCTACAAAGATCTGTTAATCTGTAATTTGTATATTAATGTATCAATATTTGAGATTATTTAATCCAAGCATATCAAAATTTCAAGTTCAAGAGTGTCAATGCAGTTTTTAAAATATGTGTGAGTAAAAAAAAAATTAAAAAAAATAAAAATAAAATGTGTGAGTACCAGATTTGGTAACTCAAACAGCTGCCCAAATAATAATGTCTTTTCAATGTCAGTGTTGAATAGAAATAAAATTAATGTGTCTTTCTGAAATCTTTTTGTTTCACTGAAGTAATACAAATATGTTGATGTATTTGGTGTAGCCAAGCTTTGAGTATTGTGACAAGTTAAAATAGCTTGGGGAGACATTACAAACAAAACAATTTCGTTACCTGTCCATCATGTGAAGGAGGCATGGAAAAATGTAATATTTACAGCACTGCATGTTGTGTCACTATAAAGAGGTGAATGCTAACTTTATTGTAACTCATTCTTGTAGCCAATAAAATTTTATTCTGTGCAATATCTGGATATGTGCAGTCACCTGGAGTTGGTGCGTAAAGGAATACCCTTATACTGGGGAAATATGAATCATAAACATTGTTCCCCCTAAATTTTATAGTAGAATTTATTCATCTGTTTATATTCGTGTAAGTCAATGATTCTGTGTGTGATCCCCAGAGTAGCAGCAAAAGTTTCATCTGGGAAAAATTGCAAAGGAAAATTCTCAAGCCTTTTCCAATTCTATTGGATCAGAAACTTTGGTATCCAGAAATCTGTGTTTTAATATTCCTCCAGGTAGGCCGGCGCCATGGTCACTAGCTATCCTCTGCTGCAGCGCTGCACTCGAGTCTAGTCTGTGGACATGGTTCTGTCCACTTTGCTCCTCTTCCGGTTCAGCTCTCTGCAGTGGCCTGGGGAAAGCAGTGGAGGATGGCCCAAGTGCTTGGGCCCTGCACCCACATGGGAGACCAGGAGGAAGCAGCTGGCTTCTGGCTTCAGATTGGCGCAGCACCAGCCATTAGTGGCCATGTGGGTGATGAACCAATGGAAGGAGACCTTTCTCTCTGTCTCTCTCTCTCTAACTCTGCCTGTCAAAAAAAAAAAAAAAAAAAAAAATTCCTCCAGGTGAATCTGATGCACTCTCAACATTAAGAGGCATTGCTCTACAGAAGAGCTATGTAAATTAGCACAGAATAACAGACACACACTTTTATAAATAAAGTTTTATTCAAGACAATCACACTCATTCTTTATAAATTGTTTATCTACTACAATGTCAGAAATGAAGCCAAAATTATTTGTTGTCTGTCCTTAAGAAAACTTTGTTGACACTTGCCTAAGGCATTACAAGTTGTGTGAGATAATTAGTACAAGTGGGAAAAGTTGTAAAGAAAAAAAAAATCACTTGAGGTAGGGTGCAATCGATCAGTTAATGAAATCAGTGGGATTGGAAAAGGTGATTTGATAAATCGTATTAATATCCTTTTTCTTTTTCTGTTTTTGCTGTTCCTTTCTACTGTCATGGTGTGCTTCTCTTCCCCAGGCTCAGTATCTGGCTTGCTTTGAAACAGGAATGGGAGTGAACTTTGTCACTTTTGAATGACAAATATAAGTCTACACACAACTCTGTCAGCCAGAATTGTTGCAGGAAGAGAACGTTGGGGGTTGGAGTTTGATATGTCCCAAGATGGATAGGTGGCATCAGAGGGTAATATGACTTTTATTTGTAAGTCACTGAAATTAGAATATCATTTGTTACTACATGGGAACCCAGTCTCTCTCAACTAAAGCAAGTTAGGTTTAGGCAAGAAAACAAGTGCTAAAGCAAAGGCACTGAGTGGGACACTGCATCTGCATAGAACTCAAATACTGCTTTTGTGAAACAGCAATAAACAATTAGAATGTCGCGATGGAAGGAATAAACTGAAAGATGAGAAATGGATGTTTGACAAAATTAGGACAATTAGTTAAGGCAAAGGAGATGGAACTTAATTCTTTAACAATGGGCAGCCATTGAAGGCTGCTTTGTAAAGGAAGTAAATTGTGGAGTTATGCTCTAGCAAAATTACTCTATCAGCAAGAAAGAGGTAGAAGGACAATAAACAAAGGGAAATTCATCACAAAACAGTGAAAAATTAAAATGCGGTCTAATATGTGCCAGAACACAAACATTGCTATTCTGGCATTCAATGGGTCAATAAGATTCATCAATTTGCCTTCCTAAATACAACTGAAAGCATCATTTTTGTCGTTTATTTTACTCAGCATTGTCATTGATTTGACCCAGATGTTTGTCTTTCCTCCTTGGACATTGGTTGCAATAGATGATCTCTGACTCCTCAAAATCCCTGCTGTTTGTTAACTACTGCTTTGCTTCACCACACATTTACTTTGAAACTCACTCAGGCTGATGGGGCATTTCCAGTTTCATAGAAGAGGGAAAGAAATCAGGAGAGTCTCATTCCCACAACCAAAACAACAACTTCTGCTCCGAAGTGATTGACGTCCTTTCTGTTTATAAATCTATGGCCAAAAATGTCAGAAACACATTGCTCAGCCAGATGTCAATGTAACAGAGATGTGTGAACCTACTAGATGGAGAGAACCACAGGGAAGAGCAGAGATTATTTTGAAGAATGATAAAATATACCACTGGCTCTTCCAATAATAAAATAAGATGATAATGAATAGGCATACTAGTTGGTCTCTGTGTCATTGGAAAATATCATATTTCCCTCCTTTCTGTTCTGCTTTGTCACATGTTGTACATATTGTTAAACTGAAATCTTTGGGAATTTAAAAAATAAAAGAAATTGCATAAAGACCATTAACAATATGAATTATAGATGCATATAGTCAGGATAACAAAGAATCAGAGTGGTCAATGTTTTCAAATCTAGAGTTATGCATCTATCGTCCTCAAATAAGTGTATGAATCAAAGGCTCATATGCATGTTCAGAATGTGGTTCATATACCCCATGACCACCAGGGACAGAGAAAAAGGGCCTCTTTATTGAGTTAGCAACTGTGAGTAAGGAGGTTCCAAGGGACTTTCTGAAGAATCATAGATAATACGTCTTAGAATTTTCCACTAATCCAATGAAGAGCTGGGAAATTTCCTTTACTTATTGGGCTACAGAACTTGTAAGTGATGTAAGTTAGAGAGAGAAAGAAAGAGAGAAAGAGAAAGAAAGAGGGACACACAGAGAGACAGAGATATGAAGGTAGTTCAAAAACTTTCCTGGAAAACAGTATTAAAATAAGAGGTTTAGTACCAAAAAAATGAAATCCATGAAGATTTTTCCATCATAAAATTTTTCCATGAACATTTTGAAAGCCCCTTTTATGCATGGATACCTGAAGCTTTTTGCACCAAATAAACTTATCTTCTTTTTTTTTTTAAAGGTTTATTTATTTATTTCAATGGCTGAGTTAGAGAGAGAGAGAGAGATCTTCCATCCTCTGATTTATTCCTCAGATGGCCACAATGGCCAGAGCCAGGGTGATCTGAAGGCAGGAACCAGGAGCCCCTTCTGGATATTCCACATTGGTTCAGGGGCCATTTTCTTCTGCTTTCCAAGGGTCATTAGTAGGAAGCTGGATACAAAGTGGGACAGCTGGAATGCAAACCAGTGCCCACATGGGATGCTGGCACCGCAAGCATCGGCTTTACCAGCTATGCTACAGTGCTGGCCTATAAACTTTTTTTTAAAGATTTATTTACTTATTTGAAGGTCAAAGTTACACAGAGAGAAGGAGAATGTGGGAGGCAGAATCCGTCTCCTGCGGAAGGTGAAGCCTGCCTCCCATAATATGGCGCTGATAAGGAGTAACCAGCTTTCACACAGCTGATTCATCTTGACTACTAGAAGCTGCAGGAGCCGATTCATCCTCTGATTAGAAGAGAACGGCATGCTCGACACGTGGACAGGCGGAGCACGGATTGGTGGAGAGGACTATAAAGGAGAAGAGAGATGGCACGGTGGTGTGGGTTGGTTGGAGAGTGCGTTGGAGAGTTCGCGGGGGAAGTTCGTTGCTTCGTTCTTTCTCATTTCTCTACTCATTCTTGCTTTGGGAGTTTGCTGTTTGCTCCTTCTTACTTTACTATAGCAAAGACTGGTAAAAAAGGGAACAACAAGCGTCCGGTCTAG